CATTTGCGGGTACTCCCTTTCCTCTACCCCTTTTTTTCTAAATCTGGGAAATTTTAAAATGGGGGGACTTCAACCCCAAGAGTCCCCCAGCAAGCGGGGGAATTCTGGGAGTTGAAGTCCACACATCTTAAAGTTGCCAAGATTGAGAAATACTGCTCTAATCTATATAGCATATGAACATTAGACAAGGTAACCATGCAATGCTGTGGCAGATGCCTCTTTTTAGGAGAGGACCCCCTCTTTGTGATTTTACCATGGATGGCTTCATATTGTTCAGTCTTGGGGAACAGCTCTATAATTAAGGAGTGAGTGCTAACCGAATGGAAGTTCTGTTCCTTCTAAATATAGATTAGAGCAGTACAGAGATTTATCCATGCAGTATGAAATTCGGTATAGAGGATTTTCAGAATGATGTGAATAGGCTGGGGGCTGTTGTTCTAAAGAAACCTTGTATTAATCTGCCGATTTGGTCCTGTTAAGCTAATTTCCACAATTAGCTGTCTCATAAGGGGTCTTAATCTCTTGCACTACAAAGCGGAGACTGAGTTGGGAGAATCCTGTATTGAGTTTACCTGATTTTGGCTTAGCACGGTGTGTGAACTGGGGCTTATTCAGTAAACTGAAAAAGTAAACCATAGTTTATCAATATGTATAATAAAGTAAAACTTAGGAAGCTTTTGCCAAGTTATTTCTGAGCCAAACAGTGCAAAAGGAGACTAGCCCAGCAGACAAACGCAACTAGAATTTAAACCGCCCAGTTGAGAGATCGACCTGCAATTCTTGTTTCCTGTAAGAATTTAACTATTTCTGACCAGGACAGGAGCACTATCCATGAAAGAACTCTCCTGTGAAGTGTCACTAACCAGAATAATCTAACTTACCTGATAATACTAAGGGCACATATTTCTTTCCAGTTCTTTCAGTAATGTTTACCATCAAAGTTGCATTCAGTAGGTGGCACTGTTGCTTTAGAGCAGGGTTCTTCAAACCTTTTCAGGCCATGGGGCCTGTTCCTTTTTAAAGAATCCCCCAAACTCCTGATCAAGAGGCAAAGCTACTTAAGAAAATTGACTGCATTGAGTTAACTTTTTGTTTGTTTGTTTGTTTGTTTGTTCTTAGTTTCTCACAGAGCCCTGTCAAGTTCTTAGGCAACCCTAGAGTTCCCCAGAACACAGTTTAGAAATCCAGGAGCTTCTTTCCAGCTGACTGGCCTGTAATTTTTTGGTGTCAGAGGTGACACTCCAAAGAGCAGGCCGCTTTTCCTACTGGCAGCCCATTCCCCACCCCCTCCCCCCACTTAGAAAAATTTAAGACTTGCCTGCCTCCTGCAGGCCGATCTGCTGTGAGGAAGTCAGGAGCTTGCCTCTGGGGAGGCCAGGAGTGGAAATGCCATACCTGGGCTAGACTCAAAAATGCACTGCCTAGTTCCAGGCTTGAACTTTTTTGGGACTGCAGGGAATGGGCTTTATCAAGGTTATTGAATGGAATGACACTAACCTCCTCCCTCTCCAGAAACAAGTTCTTTTCAATATGTACTTTTCTCTTTCTCTTTCTGAACCAACAGCATTGCATATCAGGATGCAAAGAATGCCAATGCACTGGTTTCCTCCTGAAGTATTTGTATGTGTCATTTTTCGCTGTGGTTATCGCTGGTAAATTGCTTGAATGTCACATCTTTAAATGGGAATTTCTTTAGACAGGGAATTGTCTTTTTTTTTTTCCTTTGGGTATATGTTCCCATACAGTGCAATTTATGCGGGTATCGATAACAATTTGTTTACAATGTTTATACATTAGTTTTATATCCTCATTCTTAAAAGTAAAATCTTTTTCAACCCAACCCAAATTTCTTCCACTTGTTTGTTTAAATAGAATGAAATGGTGTGGCTGTATGCCAACCATGTTGCCATAGAGGGTTCTTTGTGGAATGAAGCAGAGTGAGTTTTGAGGATCACATTCTGCTTCTTCAAATAACGATACTGTACCTAGGTCAAGGTGCCAGGCTGTCATGCTAAATAAGAAATAATTGCCATGTTAGTTGGGGGAATCAAATAAGCCCAAATGGCTCTGCATTTTCTTGTATGCCAGACAGAAATTTGGCTAAGAATATATCCAAAATTGGAAAAGGTGGTGTTTTCCCCTGGTTAGTTTCAGTGTCCCTGTGTGGTGTTGGGATTAAGGCCAGGGAGGCCCAGATAAGAGTCTCCCCTTCACCATGAAGTTCATTGGATGATTTTGGGCCACGAAGTGCCTCTCAGCACAACAGGGCTGATATTGTGGGAATCTGAAGGAAAGGCTGGATATAATTCTAACAAACAATAGCATGATTATTGATTAATGGAATATTAAGAGAAGATGGAACCCTTTCAAATTTAACAAATCCCAGTGCCACAACTGCTTCGTGCAAACACAGCAGCAAATATTTACTTTCACAGAGCCTACTTCCTCAGAAGAAGAGCAAAGTTTGATTAGAGCCAGTTTGGTCTAGTGGTGAAGGCACCAGGCTACAAACTGGGAGACAGTGAGTTCTATTCCCACCTGAGGCATGAAAACCAGCTCGGTGACTTTGTTCCAGTCCCTCTCTCTCAGCCCAACTCACCTCACAGGGTGGTTGTTGTAGGGAAAATAGGAGGAGTATTAGGTGTATTTGCCGTCTTATTTATAAAAATAATAAAGGTGAGATAAAAAAAATTAAAAAAGGGACTGTCAGCTACAACATAGATCAGATTTAACTATTCCCATAAGGGCTGAAAAATTTGTTCATAGGGCATTACTTGAAATAGGGGGATTTAGGTTAATTTACACTTGAGAGCTTCTTGGATCAATTCCACCTGCCTTTTACTAAACATTCCACACATTTTTCTCACAAAAAGGCTGCTTAAAAATTCTTACTTTTCTAAAAAAAAGCTTGTTAATATAGGCTTATCTTGTTATCTAAAAGTGTGCAAGAGTATCCTTATTTCGGCACTGATTGCAGCATAAGGCAAGGACATTAGTTCTGCAGCAACAACCAAAAAGCCATTTGTGCAAGTTGGCTAAGCTAAACATGCTTGCAAACTATATTAATTATTCAGGTGTTGTATTTATACTAATAGCAAACTCATTCTCCAAATTGTGGTTCTTAATTAGCAGCCCAAACTGCATCATCTGCACATGAGAAGGAGTTTTTAGGTTTGCAGAAGTAGTACAGTCCGAAAAGGAACCTAAAAGACAATCCCCCTATTTCCCAAATAAGGATTAAACACGTTTAATGGCTACATAATATTGGAAAATTAGTGCAGGTAATTTCCAGTTTGATTTGCCCCCTGCATATTCCCAAGCAATCCCTATATCCAGATCAGAGCAAGCACAGACGCCACTCAGTTCAGCTAGCAAAGATTTAGCTTGATGTTTATTAAACAACCACAAACATCAAAACATTTACTTGGCAAAACAGGACAAAAGACAGACAAAGTGGGGGGAGGGGGCACATGAACAACCGGCAAGAATTTACATTATCTGTATGTCTATATGTATCCATTAGAAACAATTCTGTGGGTAATTAGCATTGATAGTCCCAAAGGCTGTCATTGCTAATTGTTGGTCATTCCAGCCTTAATCTTTTTATGTAATTGTATGTAGGAAAGACCTTGGGAGCTGGGGGGGCGGGGAGAGATGCTGCCTAGGGACCGGTCAGATAAGAGACAGCATAGCCCGCAGCAGCACAGTGGGCAGGGCAAGGGGCTCAGAAGGGACCCTCCCTAAGTTCTCAGGCTGTAAAGGTGAAGGTGGGAGAACTGTACAGTGGTACCTCTACTTACGAACTTAATCCGTTCCGTGACTCTGATCGCAAGTCGAGTTGGTCGCAAGTC